GTAAGACAGAGCTGTTCCACCAGGCCTTTGGTCAGGGCGCAGCCTGACTCCCTCCTTTGGCAATCTCTACAAAGCTTTAGTCTATGGTTGCCATCAATTTGTATTTTAATTAATTTTTAGAATGTATTTATAATGTTGTACTGTTTTAGTGTTGTTAGCCGCCCTGAGCCCGGCTTCAGCTGGGGAGGGCGGGATATAAATAAAATTTATTATTATTATTATTATTATTATTATTATTACATGCTTTCTCAACATCAGACCTCCACATGTTTTGAGACTACAATTCCCATCATCCCTGACCACTGTTCCTGCTAGCTAGGGATCATGGGAGTTGTAGGCCAAAAACATCTGGAGGGCCGAGGTTGAGGAAGCCTGCCATATACCATGTATGGGGAGATTTACCTGGCTCCATAATTTGCTTGTCTTTTACAATACAGTCAAAATAAGAACTAAATCCAGTAGGCTTTTAAAAAACCAAACTGATGATGGCTTTGATCTGATTGATTGATTTAGTTTATTTATGTGCTGTCTTTCCATGGTGAGCTGTGCCAAAAGCAGCTTACGATAGACATCCACTTCTTATCAAATACAAAAAGTGGAGGTTGGGGGAGAAAACAGTTTACAAAATGTATCAAGACATTCAAAACAAAAAAATTCCTTCCAGTAGCACCTTAAAGACCAACTAAGTTAGTTCTTGGTATGAGCTTTCGTGTGCATGCACACTTCTTCAGATACAAGACATTCAAATAAGACCAGAAAAATCCAACCATTGTAGCAAATATAGAATAAATTAAACATGACAAAATTAATAATCTAGGCTTAAATATATAAGTACTGTAGAGCAAAAAGGAAGTGATCAGATAAAGAAGTTCCATAAAGAAGTGTTGGTGCACTCCAATGAGCCTCAGCACCCTGGCTTGGATACAGTTCAGAGTGGGAGAGGTCTTCTCCCCAGGCTAGATGATGTTCAGCTGCCTCCCTCATCTCTCTTCCAAAGGAGGCTAACAGCTGCAGAAAGTAAATGCTGAAGATGGCAATGATGATGAGTCTTCTTGCCAGCCTCCTGGAAATTCCAACTGCCGGTACAGGTCTTACCACACTCCAAAGACCCTTGACAGCCTAGTTTACATACTGTTCAGAGAGGGAATGCTGATGCCACTTTTGATGGTGATACTTCTATTATTATTATTATTATTATTATTTATTATTAGCAGTAGTGCTAGTAGTTGTATTACTGTTGTAATATACAATTACTGACTCACACTTGCATACGTGAAAGGATTAACCTGAGCTCAGGTTGCCAGCGGGGGTGGAGCTTATCAGGCTTTTGTTTCCTCCCTCCCATTCCCCCCCCCCCACTTTATGCTTCCTGGAACAAGCAAGGAGCCATACAGCCAGTGGCTCCCAGCTGCAAGAAAAGCCAAGTGAACTGAATCTCTCAAAAATGGAGATTTTACAGCCTGCATCTTTGCTAATCCAAAGAATGCAAGATCCTTTTTGTAAGGAAACAAATGTCTTTTTAAGTTATTTGAAACTTTTTTCTTCTTTGTTTTACTGCCAGTGGATGGAGACTTGGTTGCTGTAACTTCTGGAAACTGTGAGTAAAATATTCACTTATTTGGAAAGTGAAGTATCCCAGCCTAAGTATTTTCTTGAGGAATGTTTGTTTAAAGATGAATGGGGGGAGATATAAATCGAACCAAGTTTTAGTATGCTTGGAGTAATCACCATTGTGCTAACCCTGCTATGAGAAAGTAAGAAGTTCTCTTCCAAACCTCTCCAACAACTGCTAAATTTATTTGTTACTTACTACAAAAATGTTTCAAGGCATCTTTTTATATGTTTTCATACACTGATTATTTTAATAATTCTAAATAGTTTATTTTCACAGTATATTGGGCTCTGTTAACTGCTTTGAATATGTAGTGCAGAAAAGTGGGAGGAGCACATACAGAATACATAAAATTACAGTGCGAAACCATGCATATCTATTCGGATATACAGTAATTACCAGTGGAAGGTGTTTTGGATTCTAAGTGTGTTTTGGATTGCTTCCTTGTGGCCTTTAAATGTATATCCTTCTTTTCTGCAAGTGGCTTGCATCGTGTTAGAAAATACTGTACAATGAGCCCCAAGTACGTGAGTCAATGGTCAACATAAATAAATTAATAAGATTACATTTATACGTCCCCAGGTACTTTCTCCCACATTATATTCACACACACACACACACACACACATACAATCTTAGGCTTGTGTTTTCAGATATAATAATAATAATAATAATAATAATAATAATAATAATAATAATAATAATTTATTATTTATACCCCGCCCTCCCCAGCCAAGGCCGGGCTCAATATACTAAACACACACACACAGAGAGAGATACCATCCATAAAATGAAGGAATATGTGGTTAACTGGAGTTCCGAATCATTAAACGTCTTTACCTTGGAAGTAATAGCTGGAACTAACCTTATTTCCAGAATCGTTGATTAGCCTCATGCAAATGAGGCAAAAATAAGAGACTAGCACACTTATTTTTGTCTAATTTGCTTTTTTAAAATGTCCTCTGCTTCTCTTTGACTGACATAAGTTACTGAGGAATAACATGTTCCACAATGATATTCTCCAAGAGGTCACAGAACGTAATGTTTTTTCCAGCCTTCTGTCTGCCTTTTGTTTAAGAAGATAGGAACTTGGCTGTCTATTTTTCTCCTGACTACTTTCAGGAAATCTACCTATGATGAGTGAATGGGATTCAGTTGTGGGGGAGAGATTCATTTTTAACAACATAATGAAATCTAGATAAACTAATAATAAAACTCATAGCCAAGAACAATGTGCCTTTAACCCACATTTTAGTTCAATTAGATTTGGGGCCCCTATTGCCCCCCTTTCATGAATAAGCACTTTTATTATTCAAAACAAGCTTCAAAGAGCATTACATCCTCTATAGGAAAAAAATTCAATTGGTGTTTAATTCAGTGGTAGGATGCAAATTTAAATTCCCATAAGGAGAGGACTGTTAATGCTGTTTAAATTGGTTGTAAATTACAGATGATACACTTGGGATTCCAAGCCCAGATTGGTGGAGTGTTGCCTTATGAATCCATTTCTTGAACTTGCTGTGCATTGAATTGTGAACAATAAGGCAATGAGGGTTGCTATATACCTGGACTTCAGTACTTTCGTACATTAGTGTGCAAACTGCATGTCCTTGGGTTGTGGTGGTGGGAATAAAGTATTCAGCTCAACATCCTTGACTTTTTTTTTGTAAAGACAACTATTGCATCTTTACACAGCTGTGTATCTATGTAGCAAAAATTATCATGGGGAAATAAATATTTATTAGAAATAATAGGATTATTCTAGCTCCCCAAGAGGTAGAAAGGCAGTTATTTTCTCAAATCTGTTTCATTCCTAGAGCAGTTAGATTGGCTTCCTCGTTGTTCTTCCACTCGTGGGTGAAGACCTTTTTATTCCGACAGGCCTTTAGGAACTGACGGTTTTTAATGAAAGGGTTACTGCTTTGTTGTTGTTGTATTCTGTATTCAATATATTTTATATTGTTTAATTCTGTTACTGTTTTATTACTTTTTGATTATTTTTTTCTATGTTTTTAGCCTTTTCTATTTTATCTGTGTTTTGGTATTTTTATGTGTAAGCCGCCTTGAGTCCAGGTCTAGGGAAAGGCAGGATATGAATAAATATCTTAAATAAATAAGCTATCAAAGAGAAGCATGAAGCTCCAACTGGTGCTGAAACTGAAAACCTACTCTGTAAAAGCTGCCAGCGTTTTCATAACACTTGGAAATAATTCTCCTTTGAGGGCAATTGTTATGATGTTCTTCTTAACTATTCCTTTGCTTGCTTTTGGTAAAAGCATAATTAGGAGGGATGTGCAACTTCCCTGTGCTGCTGAAAAATGGTGAATTGAGGTGATTCTTTCCCCCTCTGGGTCAACAAAGATCACTGAGTAGGCTCAGGGCTCCTACGAAGCCGCATGTTGCTCTAAGGTTCTGTTTTTCTGTCCTCAGTCAGGGGTAGACGTTGGTCTTTTAAATTTCAACAATGCTCTGTGCAAGGCCAAAATTTGGTGCCTTCCCTCCCCCCTTGCCTTCTGTTCTCCACATGCAGTATGTCATAGTTGTGGCACCCTGCAGCACCCCCTCAGCTTGGTGCAGGGGAACTGGCCCTGCTCCCTAAACCCACCTCTTCCTCAGAAAACTATATTGCTATGCTTTTATGTCTGTTTGGACTTTGCCTTGAAGTGAGGCTGTCCAAATATTGCCTATGGAGTCCACTCCCATTTGGCTAGTCTGTCTTTTCAAAGTATTACTTTGTTTGAATACTATCCAAAGTAGTTTTAAACAGGAGCGTTCAGAATATGAAGCATCTCCAAGAACCAGACCTCCCTCCCTCATGCCAAAAAGTAAAGCCATCGTTCCCAATGTTGCTGATCTGAATGGAAGACTAAGGATTAGATCATTTGTCTTAATGAATATAAACAACTGTTTTATATATAAAGAGGTTGCGTAGTAGCCGGGCTGAGAGACATTTACAATGCTGGGTAATAATTAAAAATGTGACAGAAGTGTATGTTCTGCCCTCTCCGCCAGACTTCTTTCCCTCACTTTTTATCATGGATTTCCAAACTAAGCCTTCTCACTCTCTTTTCAATTCTGCATTCAGTTTTGCAGCTTGGACATTTGCCTCTACAGTATTTGGCTTTTCAATATAACCTTTCTGTCCCCCCCCACCCCGAGAAAGGGGCAGCCCCCAAAACCCTATCTTTTCAGGCAGTAGGCAAGAGGCCCAATTAATAATCTGGGGACACATTTTTTATTGTGAAAACTAAGCAGGACTCAACCTGGTCTACATAAGGGATCATGTAGGAGGCCAGCGTAAGAGCTTCATGAAATAAAATAAGAATGAGAACAGTAACAACACAAGTTTAATGGAACTAGTCAGGGTAAGAGCAGTAGGATCACATTGAGCTTGTCAAATACTTTCATTACAGTGATGTCTGTTGGATCAGGAAAAGGTGTGAAAGGAATACACAGGGTTAAGCCTTTGCACACAGCCATTCCAGCTTCTAAGTTCACTGCCATTGGGAAGAATTGAGCAGAGCTTACACAATGAAACAGCAGCTCCTTTCCTCTGGAAGAAAATGATGCCATAGAAGCAAACAGTTGTATCAGAAGACTCTGGGCTTTTTACATCAGTGCTTCTGTGAACTGGAAAAGACAGGGCAAATTACTGCTTCAGACAAATTGGGAAAAGACAATAAAATTTGCTTCTCAAATGCCAGGAATTCTGAGCATGCAAAATTCCCCCAAAGCCTCTCCTTTTCCAGAGAATAAGGCATCAACAGTTGCCCTTTCCCAGCTTTCAAATGAGTAAAAATATGATTGAAAATAAAATAATTGTATATTAATACAAATACTACACTGCAAGATGGTGTTAAACCCAAGCTGTAAGAGAGCACTCAAGTCTGTGCCTACTTAGGTAGTTTTGAGACAGGAAGCTGGCCAAGATGCAAGCAGGGCTTCAGGCCACACTCAGTATGGCCCTAATTTAGCCCAACTCCCTGCAATGCAGGAATCTTTTTACCTAATGTGGGGCTCAAACCCACGACCCTGAGATTAAGAGCCTCATGCTGTACCGACTGTGACACTGTATGCAGAGGTCAGTGGGTTTAACACAAGGCTAAGGATCTAGAACAGTGGTTCCCAATTAGCTGTTCTGTTCTGGCCTGCGAATAAACAAGAGCTGTTGAAGAATCGCTGTGTCGTCTGATACGTTCACCCACAACTTAACACCTGCACCCTATGATGAACCAATTTTTAGCATCTCCCCCCACTCTGGGGCTTTCCTTTACAGAAAAGTTCATCATCTCATCAGAGCATAAGCATTGGCTTGCTGGATTTCACTAAAGCTATGGTTGGCATGCATGATAAAAGGTAAAGGTACCCCTGCCCGTACGGGCCAGTCTTGACAGACTCTAGGGTTGTGCGCCCATCTCACTCAAGAGGCCGGGGGCCAGCGCTGTCCGGAGACACTTCCGGGTCACGTGGCCAGTGTGACAAGCTGCATCTGGCGAGCCAGAGCCGCACATGGAAACGCTGTTTACCTTCCCGCCAGTAAGCGGTCCCTATTTATCTACTTGCACCCGGGGGCGCTTTCGAACTGCTAGGTTGGCAGGCGCTGGGACCGAACAACAGGAGCGCACCCCGCCACGGGGATTCGAACCGCCGACCTTTTGATCGGCAAGCCCTAGGCACTGAGGCTTTTACCCACAGCGCCACCCGCGTCCCGGCATGCATGATAAAGCAATGCAATTTTAGCTGTTTCTCTGTTTTCCTATATGAAGTTTGGTTTACTACATTTCCACATCAACTTGAGGTGTGTGTGTGTGCCGGTCCATGTCCATATGAAAATTTATCAGCATTTTACTGTTAAATTATCTTAACATACACTTCTGTATCCAGTTCTATCCAATAGGCACCTCTTGCAAGCATTTCCCTCCAACACAATGCATTTCGTGTGGCATATTCGCTGGTATATTTTTATGCGCACTTCCTGCAAATATGTGCATTTTTACTGTTTTTGTGCAAGACGCACATTTCCCAAAAGCAATTGTTAGAAAACTGCATTGCAGACTTTGGGCAAGTGAGAACTCTGAAGGAGAGCTGTGTTTCAATTTGCGCACTGAATTCTACCCAAGTGTGCCATTAGCTTCAATAAGACATCATATCAAAATACTCACATGTTCAAAACTGGTGTATACACTTATTTGTATTTCCACTGCAATAATCAGCAGAGAACTGAGATCAGTTCATCTTGTATCCTTAACTGCATCCAAATTGGCTGTAGTTCCTGTTCACCCGAGGAAAAGCTGCCTCATCCGTGCCTTGTTTATTCCATGTGTGTATGACCTTACCCTAAATGCTTAATGCAGCACTTCTCCTTGTGTTGAGAGTGGGCAGTGACAATTCCATAGTTAGCCACAGCTTAAAGAGACTGTTGAGAGGATTTCAGGCTCATTAATAACCTTTCAAAGTGTTATCTCAAAAACTATATTTACAGCTTTCCTTAAATGTTGCAACTTACTTGCCGACTTTAATGCACGCTTGTCCCATGGGTTTCTCATCCATTAAGATAGATTAAGTGACTATTTCTAATGCACAATAGTAGATTTTGTCGCCCTGCAGTTCAGCGCCCGACTGCGGCTGCCTGATACTCAACCGCTCTGAATCCCCGCTGAGAATCTAAGCTCTGTGAGCTGTGGTGAATGCATTTAATCTACATAAAAAGAACACAAATTGCATGTTAGCCTTTTTTGAGCCTAGTAATCAGCGCGGTTTACCTCATACGTTTCTCTGCACTTTGAAGAGGTTGCAAAGGATTTCCCCCTCCCTTCCCCCGCCCCATCCCTCTATCAGGTATAAGCAAAATGCTTGCCTGCTGACTGAGCCCGGTGAATGGCTCCTGTAACTTATCCATTGTTCATATTTAATGCTGACTGGAGCCCTGCTGTGCCACTGATAACAATAATATGTAAGGAGGCACACGCTGTGCTATTTTATTCCTGCGCCACCTAATAATTTGAAATTAAATTTGTTAATTAAAACAGGAGCTGTTAAAATGAGGCTCCAAAATTGCCAGATTATACATATCCTCCTTGCCTCAGTGGGAAGATAACGCTTGGTTATTTATATAGTCTGCAATGCATAGAACCCCATTGACACTGTTGTCAAAAAATCCTTCATTCCACTTAGAACAGTTATATTTGCATAATTTTTCTTTTAATATTGAATGTACACAAGCGCACAGAAGAACAAAAAAGCACATGTAGTTTTTGTTCAGTCATAACTAAAGAGGAATAAGAAGCTGTCTGGCCCTATTTACTTTGAAGACCCATCAAACTGAGTGGAACTCGGAGCTAAATTTCCTTCAAGATCTAATTGTAAGGCCTAAGATTTTTGCTGTCCAGGAACACAGATTTTTCTCTCCTCCACTGTTGGGCCTTTATTGTAGAAAAGCTTGTTATCTCATTACACCATATGAACATAAGCAATTGCTTGGTGGATTGGTTATCCTAATAAATAAACATTCTCATTATATTTTGAGTGTACATTATATGTTGCAAACACCAAACATAAGAGCCAACGCTGCTGCTGTCATTTTTGAAAACTATGCATGCAAACCTCTGATAATTTTATATTCTTTGTCTCAGGGTTGTTAGGGCCTTTTCCAATGGCTTTGTTGACCTCAAAAGCCTATTATTAGACACTCAAATTACGTCAGATCACCCAGGGAAGGACATTTATGCCAAGACAGCCTAAAGGTGTATGTTTAACAAGATGGCGGCGTCATAGATTCCTGACAGCAAATGGGGATGTTTGTCCAAGTTTTTAGATGTTTTTTTTCACATGTGTTGTCCACTGTGCAAGTGGTTATGTAAATAAGTTTTAACTCTGTCCAGGGGGCTCTGTGCCAAGATACTATTACAAATAATATAAAGAATAACTGGGTATTGTAAAGATGCCATCAGATCTGGTTCTTCAATATGTTATGATCAAAGGAAAAGATTTTATAAAGAACACATTGTAATCCAGCATATTTATATTTATTTACCTTGTTTCCTGCTTCACATTTTAACAGAAATCTCTTAAGTGGTTTACATAAGATACAATGCAAATTTCACATTCAGTGTGAAAAAATATTACTACTACTATTGCGGTGGTAATAATAATAATAATCATCATCGTTTCACGTTTTAAATAATCAAGCAACAATAAATATATCATCATAAGTAAAATAAATGTGCATATGTAAATTGTATATGAATCATCAAAATGCACTGTAATTACAGGATATATATAGAAAATCTCATATATATCATAAATGGGGACCACACTAATATGAGTAATTCTGGCGATCATACTGTTATCTATCATCACACTACCAAGGGTGCCATCTGGGCCCCCCAAAAAATAATTCAAGGAGGGGGCTGGGCCCCCTCAAAATTCTGCAGCAGCCGTGTGCGCACACCATGGGTTTGCTTGAGTCATGTGCGCAAGCCCTGCAGTGTGTGCGCATGGTGTGCTGATGTTGCACAACCCCAGCACCCTAAATTGCAGGGGCAAGGCAGTATGCTTGCACATTACACAAAACTAATCTAAACGCGTAACCCTGCATATTTTAACAGTCACACTCTCCTTACATCTAATACATCACTACAGCCACTCAGCTGTCACTTCAATAAAACGCTCTGTCAACGTACAGAAAAACAGCTTAATGAGAACGATCCACTACACTACGCTACACTTTGCAATGGACTGTAGCAACACAGCTCTGATAGTTTGCAGGATACTTGCAAATGCTTGAGCTTTCAAAGGAGCTTAGTCATTATTTATTTTGATTCAGCGAACCAATCCCTTAAAAAAGTAATACGTGTGTTGTATAGAGTAGACTTACACCTCTGCCTGCACAAATTTCCCACTCAGGCTCTCGCCCTCCTCCTCCCACCAGACCCACCCTCTGCCTGTGCAGTTTTGAGGAGGAGGAGTTCGAATATGTGAAAAAAGGCATCCTGTTTGAATTCCAAACAGGACAAGGGACACTTTTCTCTCAAAAAAGGACAATCACGTTTTTCTAGGGATGAGTGGTAACCTTCCTTGGGCATGAGACAATCTGGAAGCAGGCAGAGTATGAGCACAGCATCAGAACGTAATATTTGGTTCAACCCAATGTCTGGAAATGACCTGTCTTTAAGAAATCTTGGATCGCCACTGCATGGCTGGGAGCTGTAGATAAAAAGATCCTTTTCCAGGTGAGGTCAAATCCCAATGTGGCTCACCATATTCTTCAGGTTTGATAATGGATTCCATTGCTGCCAAGGGATGGCAGAATTTCAGCCTCCTGACTGGTCACAAATCATCCTGGCTCCTGATACTTGGTCTTTGTCTGCTAGTGAATCCCACACGGAAATGCTAAAAATCCAGAGTAGTTCCCCAGGTCTGTAATTGAGTCTAAAGGAAACCCATATGCACCCACTGAACTGTCAGGAAAGAAAGTAAGAACAGACTACAGTGGTACCTCAGGTTACATACGCTTCAGGTTACATACACTTCAGGTTACACACTCTGCTAACCCAGAAATAGTGCTTCAGGTTAAGTACTTTGCTTCAGGATGAGAACAGAAATCGGGTGGCGGCGGCGGGAGGCCCCATTAGCTAAAGTGGTGCTTCAGGTTAAGAACAGTTTCAGGTTAAGAACGGACCTCCAGAACGAATTAAGTACTTAACCTAAGGTACCACTGTACTGTGATCTACCTACCTACCAACCAACCAACAAATATGGAGAGTTCTAGTGAAATGTCTCCTGTTCATTCATCTCTGACCTCAGAGTTCTGGCTAAACATGTAATGCACTTTTATCGATGGCTGCATTTGTAGCTGTGCTGCTCTCAGTCTGCACATACTGCTGTTTTAAACCGGCCTTTACTGCAGCAAAAACACCAATATGGATTAACAGCATGGACATAATGCCTAAGAGGAAATCAGTGCAGCGTCAAATAAATATTGATTTACAGATCCTTATTATCAAGCTGACTAGGGAGCGGGTGACCTTTGTAGAGCACGAGAGTGAACAAGGAGATTGCAATAAAGACAGGGTTTTTAAAAATAATAATGTCAAACCTAGTGTCTTAACGTATCAGAAGAATGCAGTGTAGGCTTTGTTTTGAAACCTCTCATAGTGTATTCCACACAAGGCGAGTAGCCAGGGAATTCTTACGAATGTGGTAGTCCAATAAACGTGGATGTCCGTTGTCCATAATGGCTGCCATCTAGACAATTGGGGAGGGAGAGAAGATACACATTTGCATTCCAGGGTTTTATATAATTTTTTTGCTGCATCCATTCTCCTGACTGGATAGGCAAGTCTGTGTTTAGAGGAAAGGCAGCCAGGAAGGCTTTGGTCTGCTATAGGTGTGCTATAGGTGAAATACTTTTGAAAAACACTTCTAAACATGTGTTCTTCTCTGCCTCTGATGTGGCTGTCTAGGATTGTGGTCAAGAGTTTCACCACTAACCCAAATGGCATTAGTAGATCTACCTGTGAATTCATTCCTTTGCTTGTCTGTGCACGACAACTCTGTGCACATCTACATAGATTATGCAATTTATTTATTTATTTTATTTTATTTATTTATTTATTTATTTATGAAAAAGTAGTTATTCACTACCAGGAGTCCTAAGCAAGTAATGGAAATAAAGACTGTGGTTTGCCGAGGTGCATTCCTCTCTCAAGTTCATCATGGATCAAATTTTCCGTCTCATCTGTTTCCAAATGTGTCCTTAACTGAATTAATAATTCAATTGTTCATCTCCTTTTCCATTTGAAAAAGTGCAAACATTCTCCAAAATTTTTGGCGGAAGAAATCTAAGCCCAGTATGAGGAAAGCCTGATAAAAAAAATAAACAATATGTTCTTTTCACTATGCCTTTATTGTGCTCCTGCTGCTTGGGACACCAACAATATAAACAAATATTACAATATAATGACTCACGTTTCCCTCCAGAGAGAGGGGTGGAGTGGGGAGCAAGTGAGATTTCCCTTAGTAACCCCTCAAATTCTATGATGATTAATCACACAGGGGTCTCTAAGATCTCTTTTGTAAAGGATCCTAAGGACTACATGCCCAGGTGTATAAATGCACCACACAGAGTAAGCATTGATAGAGTTCAATCTTTTGTTTGTTTGTTTATTTACAAAGGGACACATATTGTAATTAGACAATTTCTATACCATTTAATATATAAAAATATTACTAAGTGATATATAGAAAGCTAAAACAACAACAGAAAAAAGTTACAAGAATACACTGTGTTACATATGTAAATGTACAAAGGCAAATGTTTCAATAATACAAAATAATTTCAGAATGTCAGGTTTCATATCCTGGACCTTGTCACAAACAGGTCCAACGGCATCTAGAAACACAATGAGAGCCATGATCATGTTGTTCTCATGGTAGCTAGCATCTCTGGACATAAAATTAGAAATGGAAGTAGCAACAGATTTCATAGGAAATGAAGATGCATTATGGATCTAGAATGAAGATGCGTTCTGAAACAATAATAATAAATATTAATAATAAATATTTTTATTTATACCCCGCCCTCCCTGGCTGAGACCGGGCTCAGGGCGGCTAACACCAAATATATAATACATTAAAAACACAAAACCAAACGATTAGTTTAAAATACAATTCGAATCACATTGAAAATCAAAATAAAATTAAGTGGGAACCCACAAATCATAACTGTAGGGTAAGGAATTAAAAGTTCACTAGGCCCGGCCACCCATGCTGGTCCCATATGGGCCGATAGAAAGAGCCCCCATGAATGAAGATGCATTCTGAATCTAGAATGAAGATGCACCCTAGGTGTCTGGTTCCCACTTCCACTGTCCCCAATTACATAATCACTTCGTACAACAATTTACACAAGTGTAAGGAAATTGCTTTTCACCATGGATACTGGTAAAAAGGAACATTGTTTAATAAGTTTGTTATTGCAAATTGTTCATCTGGTGCTAATGAGGAAATGGTGCGACACAAAAGCCTGCAATCTTAAATACACTTGTTTGGGAATTTAAGTGGCATTTGCCCCAGAGGAACTTATTACTCAATGAAATGCATGGGATGATGATGTAGATTCTGCTTCGAAAGCATCATTGTTCATTACTGACTATATGAAGGCTTTACTACTGAGCTCTGGAAGGGAACATTCACTTTCTATTATGCAAATGTAATTTCATGGTATCACACATCCATAGGGCTATCTTTCTTTACTCCCCCGGCACAAAATGCATCTGCTACGTTTATGCATTTGATATATCGTATTTGATGTGATTTCAAATGATATTTATAGTAATTTTTATAATGTCATTAACTGTCCCCAGCACATCCTCTGATGTTTTGTTTTCTCCGTGTACTTTGAAGAATGGCTAACATAATTTGATTGTAAGGCAGTTTGGCTCTAACTTCACTCTTCCTAAATTAGAGATTTCTGCAATTGGCTACTGTTAGCAACTTGATGCTGCTGCGATGTGAGAGTCATGTACTTTCACATACGTTTCCAGAAGAAAGAGATCAAATAACTGGACGTAATAATACACTGATGATAACTGAAACAGGGCAGTTGAATTCAAGCACTTTAAGGAGTGGTCTGAAATTCTTCTGAACCTTGTATATCCGGGGTTGTCAACATGGTGCCCTTGGGTGCGAGTGTGTCCATCAGTACCTCCTTTGGCACCTGTGAAAAATTGCAGTAAATATTTTCTTTAAAA